GAGATGATTGATGTGATGCCCAAGATCTCATTATCTAAGATGTTAAGTTAATTCTTAATAAAAAAACTCACATCTAATACCCGTTGCAGTTTAAAAAAAAAAAAAAAGAATATTAATACATGCAAAACTCTTTCCGCTGATTCTTTGATCATATACAAAAAAGATATTCACAAGAAGTTTTATACTTCCTTGTTAATAAAGTCTTTATACTTTCATTAAAACAACTTGAAGCTTATCTTTATATATCTCTCTTATCCTCCTTACTTGTTTATAAACTCCTTTGAATAAAAACTTGAATCTCTAGTGATCTGAAAAGATCCAAGTATAAACTTTCTTTACTAAAGGTAAAAAGATTCTAGGAAGTAAAAGGACTGACAAGTGGAGTGTCACTTTATAGAGCTGAAGTGACAGAAATAGAGGTTTTGTCAACAGTGAAAGACTTATTATTCATCTTCTCAAGTTTTTCTATTTCTCTTAAAGTATTTACTGTTTTTCACAGTTTTTCTGAAGGATTTTGTCTATCTCAATTTGACTTTGAATTTTTGGTAGCACAATGTTACCAGGCTTTTGATTGGTTGACATGAAATATGTTAGTAATAGAATGTAAACAAGCTCTTATTGATTATCTTACATATTCCGATAATATCATTGATAATTGAAAAAGTTGATTGATATTTTATATCTACCTTACTTCTTCAATTGGATTAACCTATAGATCAAGTTCCATGAGGTCAATAAGATATAAGCAACAAGTCCCCAGATAATAAAAAAGTTGCTATATATTTAAGCTAAGGTTTTTCTCTTTTATTATTCCAATTAGGCAAAGTTCAAAACCAAAGTCTCCTTTTTATCCCAGTCAGGCAATAAGACTGAACGGTCTCTAGTCCATGCTAAGCTGCAACCCTTTGGTTACAGTTAAAAATGCATTTTCCTAGAAGTTATTAAAGAATATCACAATTAACGAGGATTCCTACTATTTTTCTGATACCCTTCTACCATTGTGAAGTAAAAAGATCTCTGGAAAAAGATTATTTTAAGCAATAGAAGATATACTGTATATACTAGTAAAATTCCTTTAACTAGGTGTGGCTGCTAGAAGGTATCATATTGAAACAACATGATCCAGTTCTTACTAGGTCATATAAGAACCTGGAGTCTATCGTAAGTCACCTGTCTATCATAGGTAGATAAAAAATCACTGCTTAAAGAAGGTTGGAATCAAGTATGTCTTGGAAGTAAAGACTTCCACTAGGTGATAAGTCTCCACAGATAATATACAAAAAGGAAATCAAGTTTAAGAATGAATAAGTTCCTTAGATGATCAGGAAAAAAAAAGATATCTCAATCGAACATTTCTTATTGAGAAGAGATTTTGAGAAGTATGTCTTTGAAAGAAGTTGGAAATATTTTTTTTAATTTTTACTTTTTCATTTTCTTGTTGTCTACTTCGATATTTTTAGATATTCTTCACTCTTTTTTTCAACTTATCTTTTTGTAGTTTTCTGTATTTCAGTGGCTTGAATTGACATATGATAGTGACACTAGAAGGGTCTTTACCCAAAGATATTGTGGAGCAAAATATTGTCCTCAAGGTCAAACTTAGAGATTATTATGCTTATGATGGGTTAGTTAGATTAGAATAATAGTTTAATTATAGTATGTATCATACTACTTGAATGAAAATATACTTATATTTTCAATTGATTAATAAACTGACAATCTATCCTGCTACGGGTATACAAAAAAAAAAAAAATAAAGTTAAAGAATATTATATTTAGATAAAGTTTTTTTGAAAAAAAATTATTTATTTTAATAAAAATCTTTACAATTTTTTAAAAAATTTAAATTGTTTTTTTTTTTCTAATTTATAATTTATAGTAATAAACTATTAACAATGATTTTAATAGGTAAAAAATTCAATAATAATTTATTGGAAAACAAATTATTATTTTTTAAATTTAATTTAGAATATTTAATTTAGATTTTATTTTGTTTAATTCAAACTAGTCTAATAGACTTTTTATATTTTTTAATTAATATAATTTTTTATCTAATAATGTATAATGATAAGTTATTTATTATGTAAAAAAAAAAAACTCTTTCCACTGATCCTTTAATCACACACAAAAAAGATGTTCACAAGAAATTTTATATTTCCTTGCTAATAAAGTCTTTATACTTTCATTAAAACAACTTGAAGCTTGTCTTCAGTTATTTCTTCTACCCCACCTTACTTGTTTATAAATTTCTTTGAATAAAAACTTGAGTCTTTAGTGGCCTGAAAAGACTCAAGTATGTACTTTTTCTACTAAAGGCAAGAAGGTTTTAGAAAGTAAAAGGACTGATAAGTGAAGTGTAGCCTCACAGAGCTAGAAGCGACAAGAAATATAGGTTCTGTTGGCAAGGAAAGGCTTATTTTTTCACTTTTTCACATACTGTCCTATACTCTCTTAAAGTGCTTACTAGTTTTCACAGTTTTCTTGGAGGATTTTGCCTACCTCAGTTTGACTCTGAATTTTTGGTAGTACAACATTATCTGGCATCTGATTGGTTGACACGAAACATGTTAGTAGTTGAATGTAAACAAGCTTCTATTGATCATCTCATGTGTTCTGATGACATTATTGGAGATTGAAAGAGAAATCAAGAATATGAATTTTTTCACTTTTTCAAATGAAGTTTAACTAAAGCAAAGAAATCATGAGGCTATTAGGATGGGCACTAAATTCCCTAGGTGGTGAAAAAGTGATTATTTGTTCAAGTTGAGACCTTCAACTTCTTATCATCCCGGTTAAGTAAAGTACACTAAGAAGATTATTTCCTTATCCTGGTCAGGTTGTAAGATTGAAAAGCAGTGGAATATAAAACATTGTCCTTCTCTAGGATTGAAAATGCATTTCTCCAAATGTTATGTAATGATATTGTAATCGATGAGGATCCTCATACTATTCAAGACCCTTCCACCATTACAAGGCAAAAAGATTGTTGGGGAATCTGACTTTTTGGGTAATAGAAGATATATACCAGTAAAATTTCTTTAACTAGGTGTGGCTGTTGAAAGATATCGGGAGTTACATAACAAGACTGAAAAGTCATATAAGAACCTGGGATTCACTATTAATCATTTAGTTTTACATGGATAGATATAAAATTAAGATCAAAAGAAAAGAAGAGTTGAGTAAAACATTGGATTCGAGTAGATGATAAGTACCTCAGATGATCACAAGAAAATAATCAAGAGCATAGATAGATAAGTTCCTCAGATAGTCAGGAAGAAGAAGGATATTCCAAAAGGATTGATTCTTAATGAGAGGAGGTTTCTAGCAGAGGTTCTTTGGAGGACATGGAGCACCTTTATTTTTTATTTTTTTTTTTATTTTCATGTAGTACAATTGTGCATTTTTAGATATTCCTTTTCCTTTTTTTTTTCTCTTTCCCTTTTGTAGTTTCTCAAAATCAGTTCCTTGAAGAATAATAAGCAGTGACAACCTGCTGGCAATGATGTGTAAGTTAGGAGATTTTCACCTAAAACTTATTTTAGAATGAAATATTGTCTCCAAGATTGCACTTAGAGATTGAAGCTCATTTGAGAATTGAAAGCCATTGACGAGTGTTTCAATACAAGTTTTTAGTTTAACCATGATACAATTGTTCTATGTATCTTTATCGGTTTTCATATTGATTAATAAATACACAGTACTGACCTGACCATGGATTTAAAAAAAAAAAAAAAGATAAGTTATTTATTATGTAAAAGTTTATACAATATTATAAATAATTTTTTAATAATTTCAATAAAACAAATTGTAACAATATAAATTGTTAATTAAAATAAATAATAATAATAATTTTTAAATTAATTAATTATAAAATATATTTTATTATTATTATTTTTTGTTCGAACTTTACAATATACAGTATTGTATAGATGATTTTTTTTTAGATCATATCAGATTAAATCAAATCGATATCATTGGTGGTTGAAATTTATAATTTTTAAATACTGTATTATCTTTATAGCACTCGAGCTAGTTTTGCATCGATAAATCCTCACAGTAAAAGTCGATTGGACAGAAGGTATAACTTTTATTCGCGGAATAAAAGACGTTTTAGAAAGGTAAAAAAGAATTCATCTAGGATAAGCTAAAAAAAATTTTTTTTTAAATAAAAACAGAAAGGAAAGTTACGTATATACAAAGAAAGTTTATAAAGTATACATGCAAATGAAGAAAATAAACAAGATTTAAAGTTCAATGTGTTGATTCTCTCTTAATTCCGCCAAATAAGAATACAATGATTCGCGATCTACCGATAGATCCCATTTCAGCAAATTCAAGAATGTTCTTTCCTGTAGATGCGTAAAATGTGAAAATGAGCTTCGATCATATACAGTACTTCTCTCACTGGATTGTAATCGGTTTTAAACCTACCATTCGATTAACTTCTTTGATGCTCCAAACATTCCACCCTACACTTTCCACCACACGTTTACTAGTCAATGGTTGGTCGTCAATGTATTTGCTAGCGACTAACACCGAACTCACAAATACTCGATGAGCAGTACCATATTCTGTGCTATAACTTTTTGGTAGGGCTCGTTTAAGTCGGTGAAAATAGATCAGGCATACGAGTACCGTTAGCACAGGCAGATTAAGGTCAGTGATTATTTTCTTGATAAATAAGAGGAGGTCGGGCAAACATGGTTGAGTAGGTTTGTTAGAGGGCAAAGTGGTTTGGATAGAACATATCGAAGTTGAGGCGTAGTCTGAATTATGGATGAAATGAAAATTAGAATAGAATAGAAGGTTAGAACGGTGATGAAATAGTTCGCCCTTACTTTTAAACAAGCGGAATAGACAATTTTTTTTTTTACCTATTAGTGAATCGGGTACAGGTTTATTCATCGAAATTTCCATTGACGGTGGTTTTATCACAGCTGTAGGCATTTTTATTTGCATTTTCTGAGAATATTTATTTATTTACTAACGTTCGTGAGAATATTTATTTACGAACTCTGCCGAAGATATTTACTGAATAATTTTTTATTTCTAAAATATTTCACTATGATACTGGATCAAATTATTTTTCTACCCTGCTAAGTGAAAATTCCGTTTTCTTATGGAATTTAATTATTCTAATGATATCTCCAAAAGAGTATTAAAGAATGTTGAACAAGGTTTTGTGGAAACAAAGACCACTCCCCGTCCCGTTTTTATATGTTGTTATGAGAAAAGTAATCGGAAGTTAATCAATCAATTACGATAAATGCTGTAAAATGAATTAGTAAAGATGGTGTGAACTGATAAAAAACGCAAGGATTGAATTATTTCGTAATCTCATACCACAGATTTTAAATAAAAAAAGAATAGAAATTTGAAATTAAAAATTGGTGTAAAGGAAAACAAATCGCACTTTTTAAATTATAATATAATTATGTAATACACTAATTATAAACCGTCAGAAAAGTAGAAGTCAGTTTGCATTACAACAGCGTAAACGGTAAACACGACCACACTTGCACAAAGACATCTCATAATTTTCTAAACATATTTGAGATGGCTCAGATGATAATGTTTTTCTAAATAATGTGAATTAGCCTAGATTTTCTTAATGCGAATATTTCTGTTCATTCCATTGGTCAAATTATTCCTATCATGCGTCAAGATAACGATAATTTCAAGTTTTTCAGTGGTACAATTAATCTTCAAATGTTTTGGCATAGGTTATCGGCGTAAAAGATCTTTAAGATAGTGTCATGTGAGGTACGTTAATAAATTTAGTATCGTAATTGTGCCTTTGATAGTCAGTATTTTGAGAAACGATGTTATATTAAAATAATCACAGTGTAATACGTAAATAAATATATTAATAATACAGTATATTGTATGTTAATAAATATATTAAAGATGTGCATAGAAAGTCCTTTTGACTTTTTGATTGATTCTCTTATTTATAATCTCATTAATCAAAAACTTTATTTCTAATAAAAAAAAAAAGAATTAACTATAAAGTACTTTAAAATCTTTTACTTTTAAAGCAAATTGTTATAAAAATTTTTTATAATAAAAGAATTTTTATTATCAATTGTTTTGTTTTTTTAAAAAAACTTTTACTTTTATAATTTTTTTAAAAAAATCATTTATCTCAATTTAATCTTAAATTTTTAAATAATACAATCTTAAATAATTGATTAATGCAAAATATATTAAATTTTGATAATACATTTCGATAATAATATTAATAATAATAACAAATTTATAAAATAATTTTTAAATAAGTTTTATTTATAAAAAATATTTATAATAATAATAATTAATTAATTAATTAATATCTTTATAACAATACAGTAACTCACAAAAGTCTTGCACTATTAAAAATTTAAACTCAAATCTGATTAATCAATAATAATTAATATTTAAAAGTAACCAGTCAAAATTAAAATTGATAATTTATAAAATACAATTTTTTTTGTTTTTAATTATGTTCTTAATTTTTTAATCCATTAGAAACAAGATTATCAGATCATTTTAAAAGTATAAAATTAGCAAGGTAACATAAGTCGAATTCAGATTTTATTATAAAGATAGAAATTAGATTATAATATTCTATTTTATAAAAATATTAGAAGCTAAAGTATTCTATTTATAAATATAAAGATATGTGAAAAAAATGAATATATATATATATATATAAATAAAATATTTTATTATATATATAAAATAATTATTAAATATTTATTTAAATATCATAAAAGCTATTAAAGAAATTCAAAAAATTGTGATATCTAATATATCTCATATTTAAAGATGTGCCACAACAAGTGAAAAACGATACAAGTAAATGCGATCAAAAATATCACAGAAATTTAAAAATTATTAATCAATATATTATTGATAATAATTACAAATCCATCAACTGAATCTTATTGTTAAATATTTAATGATATATGTGTATTTTGTAAAAATCATAAACATTGAGTCCAAAATTACCCATCAATTCTATCTAAATATCGAAATTATTGTTATCGATGTTGGAAAACAGAAAATCATTTGGCAAAAAATTATATATTAAAATAGCAAAAGCCTCTATAGATATTAAAGATATAATTATTAATTTTTTATTTGTAATATTTAATAATAATAATAATAATAATAATAATAATTTTCATTAAAAAATATATAATAATCTCAAAGAATTGATAGAAGAATCCCCTCAAAAAAAATCAAATTATTTTTTTTAGTAAAAAGATAGGTTCTTTTTTTTTAGACTAAATCAAAAAATAAAATTAACAAATAATTTATAAAATAGACCCAAATCAGGATGATCACAATACTTTTCTAAAAGATTTGAAAGAAAAATTGTATACTATATCTTAACTAATAAATGTTTTATAGCTGTTGATATTCAAAAAAAACTTAAAACTGAAGAAAAAGTTGATGTTTTAGCTGAAACTATATGTTGAATACTTAAAATAAATGGATTTAAGTCAAAAGTTAAGAGTAAAAAATCATTTCTTAAAAAAAAGCATATGTAAAAGTGATTAAAATTTGTTAAACAATATAAAGATTGAACTATTGAAGATTGGAAAAAAGTAGTTTGATCTGATTATTTGAAAGCATATAAAGTATTTTACCTAGTTTTTCTTAGAAAATCAGCTTTAAGATATTTTTATATTATTTTTCTTTGATATAGCTTTTAGAATTGTATTTTTTTTTTCAGTTTTCTATTAGGCCATCAAAGTTGGCATCTCATGTTCTAAATGCTTCTTGATGATATTTTTTTATCTCTTTTTCTATTTCATCTTTTTTAGTTGTTATATAGTTATTTTCCTTATTCCTGACTTTGAATATATCTAAAACTATCATTCTTCTTTAATTATTTTGCAAATTATCATATCTTTGTTCTAAGGCTTTTTTAATAGTATCTCTTGTTTGTCTTGTTTCTATATTCTGGTAGGTAAACTTTAGACTTTCTATCACTTTATATATTTTTTTTAATAGTATCCATTATATATTTGAAACACTATATTAAATATAGTGGTTTTCGATTTAGTGATTTGGGTTGTATATATTATTGTATTTTTTGATCACTACATTAAGGGCCCTATAGCTTGCTAAGTTCTTGTGAGATTTGTACTTTCTTGATAAGTGTTTTTTTTTTTAACCTGCAATCATGCCACTTTGGCATATCTTTATTAAGATATTAAGAGATAACTAAATATTTTACAGCCTTTTACAAAGTGACTAACTTGTCATTATACATTATTAGTTAAAGAACTACACTACTTAAAAAATATGAGAAGTCCACTAAGCTAGTT